ACTGGAGAGGTAGCCAGAACATACCTCTGGTCAACCTGAACGAGCCTATCAAAGAATTAGTCAAAAATACTAAGCAATTAGGTCTGTAGAGGCTTTGGAAAATGGCTTGTTTTGTCTAAAACAGGCCAAAAATGACCAAAATGGCACAAAATGACCATTTTCTGCAGGCTCTACAAGCATAACCACTCAGTATTTTTAACTAATTCTTTGGTAGGCTCATTCAGGTTGACCAGAGGTATGTTCTGGCTACCTCTCCAGTTAGCGCATATTTTTTTTTCAGATGCCAGAAATGGCCTCCAGAATAAAAACCTTCTCAAGGCTCCAGCTTTCACTGAAATTAGTCCATACCAAGGGAAGTGTAACACAACTACATAATGTAAAAGAATACACAAATACATTTGAGGTACAATAGATTCTTAGAAAGAACCAGAAAAATGAACCAACCTTCATTCTTATTTGCACTCAACTGTACCTGTGGATAGTCCGGGTAGTTACCCGAATCCATCAGTTGAGCCCAAATATGGGTGGATTTCGGGTTTACCCAGGATTAGCCTATCCGTGACAGTCTCTAACAGGACAGCATGAATGGAAGGAATTTATTTCAAGCTGGATTACCAGGACATTCAGATCAGCTAATTGCCAAATAATTTGCAACCATCCATCAGGCTTGGAGGGTTTTACACCCTTTAATTAATGCCATTTTTAGGCAGGTTGAAAAAAGGTATAAGAGGAGGCAAGCACTGATCACATTTCACCAAGAACCCAGTTTAGCCAAGTATCTACAATAAAGTGTTCACTCCTCTATGTTATCGTCACCCTCTTCATTACCATGCAAGCTGTCACTGTCCACAGCCCCAATCCAGGCATCGCCACTGAGAACGACTCCAACAGGCAACCCTGTAAGTCACCACTCTCTATATCACCTCACACTATGGTATTGCTCACAGCCTTCATATTCTTTTGTTAGGTTCCAACGACAAGGTAACACATGTGTCCTTCCTCTCTGAGTCACATTCTGATAATGTCCTTTTTTTTCAACCATTGGGAACAGCACTGTAAGTTGTTGATTGTTCAACTTTTTTATTCTGATCATAACTTCTTCACAAGGTCCACAGGGCCAACACTGCATCGCAGTAGGCCATGGTCACTTAGTGTGAGTACATCTGCTGCGCTTACTATCAGTGTCCAGGAGTTTGATATGATTCAGGAGTTTGAAATCCTTATGTTCCTCCCTCAATATTAACACTGGCTTACTGGGATTTTTTTCTGGACTAATTATGACTGTCACTAATATGAATATGAACTTTTTTTCTGCAACAACTGAGTTTGACGAGTGCAGGATTTTAAAAGGTGGTTTTCAGCCCATCAAAATGTGTGATGTATGCAAATGTTTTCTAAGATCTAATCCGATCCTTTGCATGAGGCTTTCTAAAAATTTACAGACATATACTAGTAAACTAGGAGACTTCAAATACGAGAAATTGAGCAGAAATACTAAGACCTTCGCTTACAGTTCAATGAATTTTGATTTTCTGTCTGCTGAGTGTGACAAGTGTGATCTTAGGCTTTACAGATTTGAACCCTGACAGTTGCATCACCTATCAAAATTCTGACAGTTGGATGTGACCTGGACATGACAACCATTTCAATCTCCTGAAACAATCGACTTTGACAACTGGTAAGCCTCCGTCAGCTTCCAAAGCTGTCCAATAAAATAATAAAATATATATTCATGTTCACGAGACATGTATGTACGACTGTGCAAGATTTGAATGCCCGGCGTGTAGCAGTTGTGGTACAATGTGGCCAAAGATCAATTTGTTTCAAACTCCCAGACACTGATAGTATATGTTGATTGAATCACTGACAATAATGATATTTCTCAGTTGCTTTTAGCAAGGGGGGTCCAAGACTTTTTTAAATCCTATAGGGTTGAATTTTTTGCTAAGGCCTCAATGGCTGGACTAACTAACTAAGGGTGGGAATATATTTCCAAATATAGAAACATTACATCATCATGTCTAGATCCAGCCCCTCAATCATCACCAGCACCAGTCCATCAATGCAGTGGTGTCAATGACCCGGGTCATGACCAGTCAGGCCGGTGGTCAGCCAAAATGGCCATAAAGTGGTCAAAAATCAGCCTGACCAGTCCAAAAAGGGTTGTGAGAAACGGCAAAATGCCTTCCGACAGCCGGTTCTACAGTCATGATCCATTGTAACATCCCAGTTGCATCCCAGCATGCCCATATCCCATCGAGGATAGACGTGTGGATGTCCAAGGCCAGAGAGGGTGGGGAGTGACTGGAAGATGGGTGTTTTCTCTTGACAAATTTCAAAAAACATAAATTACAAGTGAGAAGTGTGAATTGATATTGCGATGGATCCAACTCAATATCGTCGTCTTTTTGCAATACCAATATAAGTTTTTACCCTAGAACGGCTGCCCACTCAAAAGGTACCTCATTGTCTCATTGAGTAATTAAAACAAAGAATAGAATATTCACAGAAAACATCCTTGCAATAATGCAGTTGTATTTGCTCCAGGTCTTCTCATTCTACACCAGATCTAGAGTAAGGTGATATATATATTATAAGTAGCTGTATGACTTCAAAAGGCACATACATATTGCATACTTAGGGTGAATAATTCAAAAAGCTCAATGTAGCAGGGCGATGAGCCATCCTGTTCTACGTGCTTACACATACATTTTGACGTACTTACATACATTGATTTCTTAACCTTCGCGTCGCAAAGTCAAGTATGACTGGCACCTGTCAACTGTCTAAATGGTGTCGCGGGCAGACCTGATTTGCCATGCACGTGACGCTTGACCCCATTGACCATGGACATGACCGGTCAAATTGGCCTGACCCACATTTCGGCCTGACCTTTTTGGCCAAGGTCAAGACGGCCATGACACCACTGCATCAATGCATGTGCTGCACACTCAACTCTGTCAACAACACAGTGGCTTTCAGACATGAGATTTGACATGATGGAGTCTGAGAGGGGGTGGAAAATGTTGATATGGGTGCTAGTCCTACCTGCCAGCCCAAGGCTGAGAATGTAGTTGCTGGCCTTGAGGTCTGAGGCTTGACATGTAATTTTTAAGCAGAGGCAGATGGCCCAGCACTGCAGGGACTGTGGTTCCTTGCAGCATGAAAAACTGACCTGCTTTGGCCTAGGTTTTTGCAAGAGCTTCTCTTGCCACTTTCTTTTGCTTATTCTCCTTGCATTCTTGACTGGGTTTGTGTCTTTGAAGTACTTAGATTGCGAGTCCTACTGAACCTCCCACAATGAGGACATACCACGGTTCTATCTTGTCTGATGTCAGCTGCTTTATTAGTTGTGTCATATCTTTCAGCATGCAACCTGATATTTCTATGCAACGTACTGGTTCTTTGATCTCTGGAGGCTTCTCCATCAAAAAGCTTGACGTTTTGGACTGTTTCAGCTGTTTCCAGGCCGTTCGGACTGAAAAATATAGAGGTAAATTTTTTTTTTAATGGCCTGCAGCCAGACTAACTAACCATCCTGATATGGCATTTTCAAATCCTGGACCCCCCTTGGCTTTTAGAAGCAATGGGCTGCAAGCTATCTATCAATGATGGCCCATTCAAAGTAGTAGTTGCACATTGGTTGTGGGCTTGGTTGTATATCTGCAGTTGAATCCATTGTTTTATGGTTGAAACTGTGTTGCCATAAAAATCTGGCAAAGTAAGCAAATGGAATGGCTCAAAATAACACATATACTATAGCAGGATTCATAAAATTTACCACCCTTCTACTTTATCAAAATAGCTTCGGAAATTCACCGAGAAAGTAGCCCCAGATATTCAATGGTCACGAGATTCTTATAAGTTACAGCATGGTACATCAATACATACACTTCTTTCCTCCCTATATAGTCTTCTCCTTCATGCTCGTCAGTCATCCCTCCCGTCAATCGACCCTGGGCTCTCCTAGGCCTCCCTCTCATGTTACTTCACCATCCTGTAACAAATAACAGGCTTGCTTGAATAGTCCAAAAATTGTACATGTATAATTTTCATAAATGATGTCACTTCGAAAAAAAAAAGTTTAAAGAGCTGGGGTGTGAGATATCATGATCTGTGATGCTGGGCGTCGTGTTTATTGCTGTGGCCAACTTCAAAACTTTTTTTTTTGAAGTGACATCATTTTTGAAAATTGCAATAAGTAGGGCGAATTGCAATGAAGAGGATAGTTTGTAGTGATCCATGATTTGAATTGAATCTGTGATTGCGTGGATGAAAAGTTGGAGTGGGGGAAAAAGTGGACGTGAGGTGATTGGAATTGGGGAGTGGAAAAGAAAAAAAAAGTCGAGGGTTGCTATGCGCACAAGAAGGCAATCAAAGGTAGACAGGGGGATGTAGTCGTGCCAAAGTGGCAATTCGTTTTGTTGGACCGTTGATAGTTTGTGAGATCTACAATGATCTAAATGCGGGAAGCGAGGTCGCTCGAGTAATCTAAGCAGAAGACCGTCTCCGCGGGGGGACGGTGGCATCTATGACTTGTTCGCAGGCGACAAAGACGATTTTGTCTCGGGTGACAAAGTCAGCGACCTCGAAGGTGAGATGACAGCTACGATCACCGATATATCTATACCGAAGAGAATGGGTCAGCGTCTGTAACGAAACTCGACGGGAGAGGGGGAAAAAAAAACTTGAAGAGGGGGCACAAAGGAAGAGAGACCAGCGGAAAAAGAAGGGGAGAAAAGACTCGAAGGGTGCAAAAACTCAAACAGAGAGGGTAATTGAATAGAGAGAGCAGGCTCCAAGGGAGAGAGAAGATTCAAAAGAATAAGAGAAGGGAGAAAGAAGGCTTGAAGAGCCTTGAAGAGAAGGGTAGAAGACCAAAGGAGAACCAAAAGCTCGAAACCTCCAACACCCAAACCCTCCAACACTCATCTCCAAAATCTCTCAAAAACAAAAGACCAACTCCAAGAAAAGAAAAAACCCACCATCCTTCTTCCCACCCCCAAACCTCCTCCCAGCGTCCCTCGCCCTCCTGGCAAAAGGCGTTTCATCGTCTTCGCGCTGCATAATCGGCGGCGGCGTCGACGACGACAAACGCACGCTACACGTCTCCCGCGTACGCCTCAAAACAGGAATAGGACGCTCCGAAACCCTCCTGGCACGCGAACACAGCGCCTCGCTCAACATCCCCGCTAGGGTCTTCCTCTTCACTCCCGTCGGCGTCGTTTCAGGCTCGACTTCCACCTCCTCTGGAACCAAAAACCCCCTGCGGAACCTAACAACCTCATCCAACACCTCCTCATCCCACAGATTATCACTCAGGCCATCACTGGCGAGTATGAGTATATCGTCTTTTTTAACGGGGATGATGCACGTGTGTGCTGTTGAGGAGGGTGGGAGGTGCGGTGTTTGGGGGCCTAGTTGGACTGGGGTGTTGTACTGCAAGAGAGAGAGGCGGTTAGGTATGGAGATGCGGGATGAGAAGAGGAGGGGAGGAAGGGAGGAAGAGAAAAGAACGTACATTCCACCACATCTCCTCAGTCCTCCACACGATATCCTCATCACGCACCAACATACCCATACAATCGCCAACGTGGACTATCCGTATGGCAGCGTCGCATCCCATTCCTTTATCAGCTTCTTCACTCGTAAAAGAGACGGACATGGATCCAGCGGCGTAGTTCTTCCCTGGTCCCGGAGGTCCATTTTCCACCCCAGCAGATTTAGAATGGGAAGCACTAGCACTCGCACTAGCAGACGCAACGTCGGAATACATCGGTAGATGGTCCAATACAGCCAACAAAGCCGTTGACGAGCCTGCCGTCAAGTCTTGACGCTCACCACCCCCCTCCTCCTCTTGCGCGTGACCGTTATTTATAGACTTTGAATTCGGAGATTGTGCGGACTTGAGTGTGTTATCGTACGCCCGTTCAAGGATCTGTAACACGTCGATGCCTTGAGAGAGTTGCTCAAGTTCGTCTTCTAGTTCGCTCTCCAACTCTAGAGTGCGTTGTTGTGAAGAGGAAGAAGGAGGAGGAGGAGGGGAGGGTGTGCGTAAGTCCGACCAGTACCATGCGTTCCAATTCGGGTTTGGGTTTGGAGGTAGAGGGGAGGAAGGAGGTGGAGGAGAAGCGGAGGCGGAGAGAAGTGGGGGTACTGATAATTCTACGGCACAGTTGTGCATTAGCCTTTTGGCGAAGAGTGCGGATGGGGTGGGGCCGTGTCCTCGACTGTTGTTGGACCGAGACCAGCCACCGACGCCATCTGCGATACCCATAGCGTTCTCTCTTATAAAATAGGCGTCTTCGCCGACTTGCACTGCCAGGTTAAGGTCGTCTGCCGAAGGGGAAGGGGAGGAGGTGTGTAGAGGGCGGTGCAATGTCGGAGTACGTTTCGGGATACCGTACGCCCCTACGTCAAGGTGGTATTTCAACCGAGGCCGTTTTTGGCGGTGAGTAGGCGGGTGTTGGTCCGGTTGTTTACATGGTGCGGGATGGAGTGGGTATGGAGTTGGATGGTGATGATGGTGGTGGTGTGCTGCGAGTGGCGATAACAACAACTGCTGAGAGTTTGGTGCGGGTGACGAGGAGGGTGCGAGTGCAAGTGAGAAGGGAGCATGAGAGTGCTGGGAGTGCGATGATGAATCTGAGGAAGGCTTGAGATCGATTGGGAGGCGGGTGGGTGAGGAGGATGGTGGGCCACTTGGACAATTTGTTCTTGCGGATGAGGAAGGGAGGATTGGGGATGTGGATGTGTAGAGGGTGCGTTGGCCTGTAGACGTTGAACGAGGTCGGAAGAGTCGTTGGTGGATACGGCTCATCGTGGTCAGGAGCAAACAGCGACTTTGGCCGAGAGCAATGATTAGATTAGATCACACTCGACGCTACATTCATGCTATCCTGGTACATTACACATTGAGCACACGGGATCCTCATCCATCATTCACCTCCTTACTGCTCTTTGCTATTCACAAAAATAAAAGGACCAGTCAGTTAACATCGCAGACTCGGAGAGTAGATAGTTGCGGTATATGACTCTTCAGTGGGCACGAAATGCATGCTTGGAAAATTATCAGTATCTTGTCCGATGGACTCGGATGGCTTTTATCGGAATCGTTTCAGGGTGGTGTAGAGGATAGCCTGCGAATTCGGGCCCGTTGCCTTGCCGAATAATCTGACTATAGGTCTCGAGAGAGCAGTCACTAGATGCCCGGCGAAACCCTAGACACCTCCACGAAATTCGTGCGCCAAATAACCGCATTTGGGAAGTTCTGCGTCATGATGACTTCATGCCGCCGGGGTTGTTAATGTGTGAAGGGACCGTTGAGTTGTGGATGAGGCCAGTGAGGGCGAAAGAGGTCGACCTTGGTCCCCAAGGTCGATGGGGCGAGTCATTGTGTGACAGTCCGGCTTTCAAGTTTCCCACGTTCCCTCTCTGCCGTCCAACTCCATTGCAATTCGGCCAATGCTTCAAAGCGTGACGCATGGAGCGCTGCGAATATTCCTTCAACCTCCATTTCACATACTTAATAGGGTGGTCGGGCGAGCCCCGGTTACGCAGTTGGCTTTATCGATTAATTGCAGTACTTGATGTTTTGGTCAGTGAGGCGGTGGGTTCACCTCAAAGTCAAGCTCTTGACGGGATTGACAGCCATATGTACACTAACCCTGAGAAAAGAATGTCCGATCACTTTTTAAATGAAAAATGGGTTTTATCTTCAAACTCTTTAATCCTTTGAACAATATTTCATAGGCAGAGTGGACCTTTATGTTTACTCTGCACATCCTGCAAAAAAGATTGAACTAAGCAGCTGTCGTTGTGACACACATGGTGGGTGTAGGCCAGTCGATGCCGTGACCGTGGGATATAAACGCGTCGCGTCAAGCAATTTGCTGTCGATCTCGACTTCAACCAAAAACCGCACTCCCAAACCACATTGCGTATGGTCATATACCTCCTATGGCTCCAATTACAACCCCCACCAAACGTGCAAAGATTTGTACAATGTGGGCGGCGGGATACACCCACAACGAAATTCGCGACGCTTTGACTGGTCGCCACGATCTTTCTGACCGCCAAATCCTCTGGATCGTCAAGATATACGCAGAAAAGGAGAATTACTACGATGTTGGACACTCAACTGGTCGTCCTCGGAAGCTCACGCCCCGTGATTTACGTGTAGCCTGCCGACACCTGTCAAATCAGACTGCCCACGATGCTTCCGACCTGCAGCGCGAGTACTTCCCGGATGTTTGTGTGGATACAATGAAGCATGCACTTAGAGGAGAAGGTCTTGAACCTCATATTCGACACACAGTTCCATTCATCTCTCACAAGAACCTACACGTCCGAAAGAACTGGGCTGTGGAACGACTGGAATGGACCGTGGCTAATTGGATGGCTGTAAACTTCTCAGACGAGTCCATATTCCACTTGTTTGGGTCAGATGGTATAGAGTGGTGCTGGAGGAGACCAGGAGAGCGCTTGGATCCACGGTTCACGAAGAAGAAGGTCAAGCACGGTGGTGGGAAGGTTACGGTGTGGGGAATGATCACGGCACAAGGTGTTGGGCGGATCGTACGGATTGAAGGGAACCTCAACAAAGAGTTATATCGTGAAATCCTTGAGGACGATGTCCTAGGTACCTACCGTGAGCTTTCTATGGAGCCACGTCAATTCTACTTCCAGCAAGACAACGATCCAAAGCATACAGCGAAGATCGTACAGGCTTGGTTTCAAAAAAACAACATAGATCTCCTTCCATGGCCACCAAACAGTCCCGACATCAGTATCATCGAGAACCTTTGGGACCACCTCGAACGTCGAATACGAGCACGTAAGCCACTGCCGCGGTCGGAAGAAGATTTGTGGGTGGCTCTTCAGGAGGAGTGGTTCCGGATTGATGTCAGCTTTATCACGAAGTTATACCAATCTTTACCCCAACGAGTTCTTGCAGTTTACCAGGCTAATGGGGGGAACACGAGGTACTAGATAGTTAGATACACAAGTTCAAATTTCTCTCGTTCTCCAGGTTTAATCTGGCATTTCAGTTTTTTCTGGTTTCCTATTTTGGGCCTTGCCACATTGATTGCTATCGCATAATTCGTATTTGCATTTCTGTATCGCAAAACTTTGGAGACATGTTATATACCACTTAACCTTTCTTATACTCTTGAGATCCAATTAATGCGTTGTGTGGTTTTCACGTTATAGGCCAGACTTCATCAAAATAACGATCGGACATTCTTTTCTCAGGGTTAGTGTAGGTTAACGTCGAGACTAGGAATCTCAGTTTTCTGTTGAACGCCGAGTCCGCTTGCAGGTGGAAGTATTAGCCACCTCGACGATTGTGAGGTATGCAGAAAGTCGCTGTCAAGCTCAGACCAATAAACCGACGAAAGACGTATGCACAGAGAAAACGCAAGAAAGGCCAGGAGTCGCCATTTGACAAGCGAGTGACCGCACGATTTGGTGTCAAGTCCGGACTTGATAGTCACTGAACAATTCTTGATCAAGGTCAAAGCAAGTGTGTGGATCCGGAGATGACAATGGCACGGCTGATTCCCTAGCTAGGCTAGGACAAAATGTCAAGGTAAATTGAGCGCCGGGCTCTACGCAGAGGGAAATTATCGCTTGCCTTTAAAATTGTAGTGATTGGCTGAAGCGTAAGCGAACTCACTTAAAGCACCGAACACAATCGCCACTAAACGGTTATTTCCAAAGGACTCTCTCATCATGGTTTTTTTTTTCAGCTACGAGATACCTTTGTGTCATATCGCATGAACATCACCATCCTCAATTGTCCCGACACCATATATCGTGTTCCGCAAAACGCCCTCCTGTCGCGACGCGATCTGTGTAACGACAGTGATAATGAGCATCATGACGTTTACGATGGATTACGGATTGTGATCTGCAGATCAGTACAAACCTTCGTTCGCCTGGTTGTATTTCCCTCCTGTAAATAGCTTTTAAATGTCCAGGGGATATTTTGAGAGTTGCCGTCCAATCTATTTCCGCTTCCGACCACCTGTCAACCCGCGCCGTATCACCTGGTCGAAGATTGATTCAATAATGGGGCAAGAGAGGTTACAATTGCAGGCCGGGAGAGTCCCTAATCCTGACTCTGGGTTGCGGCCGCCACCTTTCTCCCAATATGACTAACGAAACTTTCGAACATCTTTCGGTCCCTGCCAACGATCCATTGAAATTCAAGTGAGAGTTCAGATTTCTCGGATGAACAGCGAACGCCAACGCTACAAACCAAGCTCGGTGGAGACTGGTCGCGAAAAGGAGGAGATGTCGCAAGCTGGCGACGTGCTTTGCGGGACCATGTGTCTTCTGCGGATCTGATGAGGAAGGTGCTTGACGCGTGCTTCTCCTCTATTTTGATTTCCCTGATGGAATGAAGAATTTCTATGAGGCGGTCCACCATACGCTGGGGCGAAATTGAAGGAAGCAGGGATTTGGTGAGCGTATTTCGTTGGGGTTGGAGACGATATAAAGGATGATTTTGGTGGAGATGCGGCAAGCGGGAAACAGCCTACAGAAAGCTTCAGTCGTTAAAATGGTGTCTCGTGAATCCAACTCACGTCTGGTAGACGACTATCAGAAAAGGACCATGCTACTGCCCAACGCCGCGTTTGACCTTGAACAAACTCGGTCACGGCGTAGTTAGGTATCTGAGGATGGGGGTGAAGTTGTAAGATGTGTAATCGCAACGACGAATCTGACCTTATGCTTTTCAATGAGTTCCAAAATCTCCACGACAGAAGAAAGCTTCCCAAGCATCGATGTATACCACCTTCCAGTTTCGTAAGCGAGCGGGATCTCATCGAAGCAGAAAATCTCACTTGCAGCGCTCCTTAAAAGCTAGGCTCTCTCGTACCATCGTCCCAACGAAGCCAGCCTCGCCTCCTGCAGTGTAAATCATCTCAACAGGAGCACCAGTACACACCTTCAGATTACGTGAGTTTGGGAAATTCCTCCATCAAAATAAGCAACGCACAGCATTGGGACGGAGCTCCTTGAGACCTGCTGACTCTTTCACTTCTTCTTCGCTGCTGTAAAATGGGGGGTTACACATTATGAAATCGAAATCCCTTCTCATGAAGATAAGGTATGGGCCACGCAAATCGCATTCGTAACCTACTTTAATTGCCAATCGTTCATAGGAAAGAGCAAGGGCTTCTCTAGAGAGGCTTTCGCGATCAAGACACGTTCTTCCAAGCCAGCCAAATTGATGTTTGATTTCGCGTAGGTGTGGGATGTTTCGTCGATCTCTGTTTCAAAGAGCCTCTTATAGCTAGTAGGCCGTATTTAAACCGAATATACCTGTCGCAACGAACTCCCAAGTTGGCTCTAGCTTGCACGCCAGAAGCGGATAAATAGCGGATGCTCCGGTGCCACTGAGATGCACAGTGACTGATTTGCGAGGAAAGAAAGGAATTGTGGCTTACACGTCAATCCCTCGAATAATATGACTTGGGCTAGATTGGAGATGGCGATGTGCATGCATGATATCTTGGATCCATAGAACATAATTCAATCTGCAGTCACATAAATAGGAGAACACGACTGGAACAATAGATTGACCTGTTAGGAACCTAAAATTGCATCCTAATCAGCTACCCTGTTCAGCGTTCAGAGCTCAACACACAGGAGGGCATAAACGGTGTTTTGGGAGGCTGATGGAAAGTCCGAAATCGCGATGTAGAATGGCTTGAGTTAGTTGCCTGTATGAATGACAAGACTTCAGGTTGAGCAAGCGAGACACAAGGAATATTATACCTTTGAGCTTCCTCATCATGGAAATCAATGGTCGCTTGACGACGGGTAGAATCGGTTATGAGACTTGTTGTGGTTGATTGCACAGTCCCTTGGATACTGGCGAAAAAAACTCACTGTTTCAAGAGAGGAGGATAGTCTGCTGCCAACTGGTAGAAATCTGGGGGGTTCCTATATGGATTGCGAGGATGCATCAAGAAGTGCGGTAAGTCATGTCATATGAGGAGTTCAGATTTCAGACCCAGATTGCGCGTGCGTCGCGGACTGCAAGTCTGCTCTGCCCACCACGTTCACAACTCGTCAACGTGTGTCAACTTACAACCCATCCCCACCAACGATATCGCACCAGGTGCACCGTACCCACCAAATCCACCAACACCGCCGAACCCGTCCAACGCCAAAACAGATTCCCAGCGTCGTTCTCATTCCGTTTAAAACGTGCTTAGGTATGTTCTATCTACGACTTGCTGACTCAAGTTCACCTACAGTTGCAGGCGCTCCCCACTGAGTCCTTCCACTTACCATCATCACCTAAAGGCAACGACGATGATGGGTGAAAGGTAAGCTGCGTTTTCAATGCAAAGTGCGATGAAATGACGGTCAATACAGAAAGTTCGACTTCTTATACAACGACTACCGTTCTTTGGTTCCTATGTCTACAGAGGAACAATGTGTTTCACCGACATACAGTGACACCTGAAATGGAATCATCTTGTCAGAGATTGAGAGGTTGATGGTCTGGCCTTGGATGCTTAAGGAATTATCTCCTTCTGCAGATGTGGGGCTCGCCGCTCACGACATCCTAAAGGTGAGATCCTTTGGTGATTCATCCGCTCATGGCTGCCTCTCCCGCCACGCTGTCAAATGCTAATTCCTGTATGCTATATCAGGAACGGGAAAGCTTTGAACCAACTCTTCCGTGGAGACTATCCAATTCTCTGTGCGTTGATCACGCTGCTTTTTACGGTCCCTCCGTCGATATATTGAAGACTTACGGGCTCGGTTGTATATCTGCCATCGAATCCATCGTATGTGTCACCGTGTCGCCGTAACATCCTGGCTATGTAAAGCGAATGGGATGGCTCTTGTCATACCAAACATAGCGGGATTCCCGCCCTTCTACTCTACTACCAACATGGCTTCTAATTCACCAAGAAGTTATTCAACGATCGCGAGATTCTCGTGACATCGCGGTACGACGTTACATACTCTTCTCTTTCCTTGTAGTCTGACTAGACACGGTGCAGTTAATGCGATCCTGGGTCCGGTTGGATCTATAATTTTTAGAATGGTCCGTGACCGGTTGACCGCTTATCGGATGGGTTGAAGGTCACACCAGTCTAGTCGATACCCACGCAAGGTGAATTGAAAATTCTGGGACGTCTCTTATTAACTGAAATGAGGAAATCAGAACGCGACAGCTTGGATTGAACTGCCCAGGGCTTTGGCGAAGTAAACTCTTTGTGCTCAAATCAAATTGCACCATTTGGGAGGATGGTTGGTAACCACTCAGTAGGGGCTTGAAGGCCTCCACGGCGGTACCAGTTCAACTTATACCCAGGTGAGTGGAGCTTTACTGCTCGGGTTTTCCAGTCAATTGAAACGGAGAACCAAACAGCGCGGGACGGCATGAATGGAAGCAACTCCCCAGAATTACAAGTGACCAGCCGTAGTTGGTCTGATAACTGGTCTATTTGGATCTGCTAATCGCAAAATAATTCGCGACCGTTCATCGGAGGCGTCGAGGGTTTCAAATCCTACGTGCAATACTCAAATAAGTTAAGATTTGGGACCATTTTTTGCGGCTTGAAAAAGGTATAAGAGGCCAGAACCGATCAGATTCACACTTCACCAAGAATCCAGTTCTACCAAGCATCTACAATGAGGACCTCACTCTTCTACGTTATCGTCGCCCTCCTCGCAACCGCGCGAGCCGTTATCGTCCGCAGCCCCGAGCCAGACGTCGCCGTTGAGAACGACCCGGCGGTGATCCATCCAGTCTTCCCGAAAAAATGTAAGTGGCCGCTCTCCGCATCGCCTCATACAACGGTGCCACTTACGACCTTCATATGCTTTTGTTAGGTTCCACCAACCAGGTACGTAGCGCGTCGTCGTCCCTCTCTCTCGTTGAATACATCACCTTCTGATAATTTCCTTCTTTTTTTCTTCTTCCTGACCATTGGGAGCAGGACTGTAAGTTGTTGTTGATCTAACTTTTTGATTCTGAATGACTTCTTACAAGGTCCACAACGCAAAACGTGCAAGAAATTCATTTTTGGCTATGCGTGAGTACATCTGCTGCCCTTATACGTTGATCGAAAAACTGAAGACAATGATATCTCTCAGTTGTGTAGGGCCGTAGGCTAGGTGCAATATATGTACCAATGGCCCATTCAGAGTAGTTTTTCATTGGACTTTTCGATCGGACTCGGTTGGATATCTTGAATCCATCATTTTACTAGAGGTTGACTGCGTCAACAAACACCTCGCTTCTGTATTTTGATGTGTATTTTGAATAATATTTAAAATTTTGCGACTTTAGTAAATTTGAAGAATCTTGGAAGGCATTAGGATAGGATGAGCTATACACTACTTATCGCTGAGCAGATGCTTGAGTTTATAACGCATGTTGCGTTTTTATCGAAACTATTTGTGCCGGCAAGTAATAACGATCGATGATGTCAGATGCTGCCATGTAAAATACGAAACACATTCCCATTCGGTCTGAATATTTAACTCAAACTCATAATGCCTCGTTTCCATCCATATACGGACCCCGACAAGATATGGGAATTCGGACTCACTGAAGAAAAACCGGTTTATGATTCCAACGTTAGAGATATTGAAGCATCTCAAGCCGCTCATGACCCGGTTGGTGTTTCGTTGAGGATTGAAACCCATGTTGTTGATATTCCTACCAGCCATTCGCACGGTTTGTCAAGTGTATCTTTTATGGTACAGACTGCACCAAGCCATTCTTGGTCAATGTGCCGTACCGTGTCGGGTTGCATAACCAGCAGATTGTTTCTTCTCTCGACACGAGCTACTGGCTACCACAAGGTGACAGTGGTGCGATGGTAGACTTTACGCCTAAATTTTACGATATATGCTCCCCCCCGCAAGAAGATTCAGAAGGAGAATCGTTGTCTTCTCAGGATGAAGACGAGGTAGAACGTCTGTATTCAATCATTTATTCACCACAAGTTAGTGTCGTTGTCCTTTGCATCTCCTCATTTCAACCGTCATATAGCCCAGAGAGGATGTTCCCCATGGATTGAGGGTCAACAAACTTGTTCACAGTTTCGAGGAGGGTTTAGCTTATGATTGTCTGGGTAACATGCTGATTGCGTCGCGTCGATTCAACGATTCGCTCTGGGACACCACGGAATACGATATATCCAGAGCCAATATTGTTCTGATAAGGTGAACGTTTCTCGCGATGATGTGAACGTTTTCTGATGTATATTTGAATCGTTCCTTTAGTGCTGTTGACAGCGATGCATTTATTGAACTTGATTGGCAGACGGTACTAGGCAATGTAAACATATCATAGAAGTCTTTTGAGTAGCTTCAACAACGACGTGTACGCCCCCACTGTTAGGTATAATAGTGCAGTCCAGTTCTTGAGATATATTGTAAGAAAACTAAGCATGTCTCATAACGTGGACAACGGCTTACTTCAAAGGTAGTTGGCTGGTAAGTACGCTGAGTATTTTTGAGGTAAGTATCTTGAGTAATTTTGAGGAGTTGTTTGATGATCAACAAAGCGTATCGAAACCGTTGTCGAATCAGCTACCCATGGTAGTTCAGTGAGGCCGACTTTCTGTCCTCCTACTTGGACGATGTTTATCGACCGTAGAAGTGGGAAGTGTGATTCGTTCAGCATGGTTTGCAAATTTTCCCAATCAAGACGCTTGCCATCGTCTGGATTCATCATGAGAAAAAGTTCTTCGAGTTTCCACCCTCCAGCTGATCGCCACCTGATGAAACTCTTCCTGACTTCGCTGAAGTCGCAGTTGTCGTTGCAGATGAGGACACGTAGGTTGGTCACCAACGTGGTGTGTCTGAAGCAATCCAGACTGCGTATGGCTGTATTTAATCAGTATTGTTCCTTAATTATAATGTCGTGACACACCGGTGATGGCAAGAATTTCGATGTTTGGTTTCCAATCATGTAGGACGCTGCCTGGTATCGACGCTGAGTGATGAAGGTGCAACACACGGACCGAAGTTAAGTCCATTATGGGGCTTGTGTCGCTCCATTTAGCCTTGAATAAACGTGCAAACACGAACGCGTCATTCTTTGCAATATACAAAATGGTTGGCTTTGGTATGGGTCTTCTGATGAACCTCTCGACTCCACCACGAGGAGTGAAGTTTATGTGAAGGTCGTGAAGTTTTAGACGCATGATGTTGTGACAGTGCGCAAAGGTGGTGACTGAAAAGTGCCGGAATCGAGAGAGCGCGAGGGTTGAGAGGTTTGGTGAGGAAAAGACGCGAAGAAATTCAGACCGTAGTTCTTCTGGGATGGCGTTCCAGTTTCTTACGGGGTATCCTCCTTTGAGCTTGAAGCTCTTTAGCAGGGACAACCGATGCATCAGTGTGTCGTCATAGTCTGAGTCATGCAGTTGATAGTGAAGGTGGTATATATATTGTGCGATGTGTGGACTGGCATGCAAAAGTTTGAAAAGGAGTCGGACTGTGGGCCCCGCAACGGAGATTGTCGCGAAAAGACGTCTTTGTGATGGTTGAACCATCAATCGGCATGTTTGGGACATGGAAGACAGTGTTTTCCAATCTTCAGCACGCGTAAGCTGGTCCAAGACGGTATCTTGTAAGACGTCGAAGGGGACGGTGACTTGCATTCTTTTTCTATTTGTTCGTCAGTTCGATATGGTAGTAGATTAGTTGGCTTACTTGTGATATATTTTTTTAGATTACTAATCAGAGTCGAGATTGGGGCAGCGGCCATCTCGGGGTTGACGTCTTCACGAAGGTAAAACCGAATGCAATTCGTCCAAATCTGTTGAAGCCATCTGAACATATCTCTGACGTTGTAATGGAACACTGGTCTTTCCTCACTGATGCCGAATTCCTCTACTTTGTCAGGTTCTGTATACGGAGGAAATCAAGGCAAGTTGTGTTCAAGTGATAACAGTTATGGAGTAGAAGCTTGCAACCGAATGTTACGTCTTCGAACGGTCTGACTTGTACTAACGTAGCAGAGACATGTAATCATTGTAAGTCTATGTAGTTTGTCGTTCTTGACAGTTAATCCACCTGTAATGACAATTAAGCCAAGTGCACTTTGTTTCGCGTCAATGCTTACCTTCGCTTTACCCTTCTTTTGTTTCTTTGCACCTTGGTCGCCATCGTCCTCAGCCTGTCGTTTATCCCCCAATTGCACCTCTCCTTCGCTGGGTCTGTTGCTACCGGATGATCCAGGTACGTTAGCTGATGGAGCCGCTTTTGATGGTGATGGACCTGTGGCAGCTGCGACTGTACTGGCGGTTGCGACTGTAGTGGCGGCTGCGACTGGTTTGAACGTTTGTGGAACTGGATTGAAGGCGTCCGCAGCAGCTTGAAGTACCGCGTGAGATGGACGGGTCGGACCTTTCTTCAGTTGCGCTCGGAATGGGCTGGGAGGTGAAGGCGCTCCGCGCTTGAGGACGACTATTTGCTCTATTCCACCCGTGAAAGAGTCGAAGGCGGGTTTATCCGCCGATCTTATATTGTAGTGCTTCAACTTCAAGGTGACCTCGACTAAGGCACCTTTCAGGGCGGATGGAACGGCTTCCGCGTTGATGAAGATATCCTTTTCGTCGTATACCGCTAGTGGCTGTAACCGGTGAGTCTCTTTGATACCTTCGAACGCGGCTTGGTGTTGAGCAGGGACCGGCCAACTATCAACACTTTCCGTCCCTTCAATATCTGGTAAGGTTAGTTCATGAAGCGTCCAATATGCTGTCGAAAACTCACCCCCATCTCCAGGATCCTTATTGAACTAGTCAGCACTTATAAATTACGACCACTTTATCGACTTACAATCTTAACACATAGAGGGGTGGAAACTCTCAACGCTGTTGTCCCGCTGTCTTTGATTAAGAAATAACGACGGTCGCTGGACGATGCAATGATACCCTGGATAGACTCTAGTGCCTGCATCGCAAGCGGCCAGTCCTTGGCGAAGTCGTCGTCCATAGGCTGCTTCAGCGTAAGCTGGAATTTTGAAGTCGCGAGTTCGTTGTACTTGGGGTTGTAATTCCCTATCGGAGATACCGCCAACTTGTTTTCTGACACAACACTGACAACAACAAAGTAGGCGTCACGTATACTGTTGTCGTCGGATGGTTTGGCGATGACGAGTTTGTTGCCATTGTCTTGTTCTGACCAGCCCACACTGCTGGCGAAGACAGGATTCGCTCCATACAGGGGGTTTTTCAGCAAACTGTTTCGGTGCATGGGGCCGCTAAACTGCATTACTGAACCATCGTTAGGTCAAATCATGCGGCAGTCGCGTTACTTACTTTGGTGTTCGGTTTTTGCAAAGGTGGTGTCGGTGGATATTCGTGACAGAAGAGCGTGGATGGATCTCCAGTCCTAGCATTTTAATGATTGGAGTCGATCGAAAAACAAGAAGAAAAAAATTTTAGGGAAAAAAAAACCCCCCTGATTAACGACACGACCAAAAAAACTCACTCCGATCACATACCGACAATGTCATGGTGACTGTATGTTGATCCCAAATAGGTGTTTTATTGCAACGCTTCCCAGTTGTCCCATGGCTTTCACGTACTTGCTGTTTGAGCGGTGGCTTGATAGATCAATCGTTAGTAGCAGTCACTCATCTTGACCACCATTATGTTTGACAGACTTACGTCCCTACACTCATTATGCTACTCATAACATGTATTATAACTTTGACAGACGAAGGGGTTTCCTCAGGAACGTTTTGATGTGTCGCGTAGTGTACCAAGTGGTCCTTTATGTCCTGTTCAGTTGCATAAAGAATGTTATGCTTATCCGATGTGGCTGTATAAGTCTGGTCAGATCAACTCCAATTATGAACAGGTCGCTGACCGAGGAGAAATCCAGTTCCATAGAGTGGAACAGTCATTGTCGGGGCACCGTATTGCGCTCTCGCCTCTCTAAGCGCACCTGTGTAAGCATCGCAATCAGCCTTCCGCAGATGTTAAAGTTCACGTCGACATACGGTTTAGTAAATTTTGCGATCTCGCCTCTCTAACCGCACCTGTGTAAACATGGAAATCAGCCTTCCGCTGATGTTAAAGTTCACGTCAACATACGGTTCAGAAATTCTAGGGTTCCGTTTGCCATCCTTTGTAAAGTTGGTCGAGAAATAGGGCGTTTGAAGGCTTAGCGACCCAGATCGATCGACGGAGGTTTTAACACAATATGTACCAAGCAATGGTGGTCCAACTTCCTGCCGATTCACGATCTACGCACCATTACATTCCATGTCCTGGACTGGGCGGGCGAATCGCGCGAATTATGGTGTATTTTGACTTTGATGTGGAGGTATATCTGAGCAAACACTTTGGACGGGAAGTGGACGTCGAAGTTGTATGGCGTCTAAGTTGTTAAATTTACAAAGATCATTATTGTCAAGCTGCTCGTCGGGTTCGATGTAACGGGTTTGAGCACGTATTGGCCAGTCTCCATCTCAACTCCAGCTGCTTAGCCCACCCACATGCCTGACCCCTATTCGACCGGTTCCATCGAAGTACGCCAATATCTTTTGAGTCATATAAGGTTCTAACAAGCTTCGGGCAATTGGTTAGACATTTTTCATTCCACTTTGCACAGTTTATCCCGAAATCCAAGTTGAGTTGTTCGGCCTCCTGGTCATGGACGGGCACGCCATCGTATGGTTTATGTCCTGCTAAGGTTCTACCACTCCCTGTTAAACCAGGGTAGAGACAGTAAACTTCTTCGGACGTCGCGAATGTCATCGTGGCCGTCAACCTTTGATAAAAGATCACTGGGATGGCTGAACGGCTATCGGTTTGTAAGAGGTTGACAGTGCAATTCTGAAAGGGCGCGTACGTCAATTTTCTTTTTAAACAAAGGAGAATCATGCTTACGACGTGGTCTTCGGTCTCTTTGATTAGGGTTACTGTCGACTTAATGTCATCACAACGAGCTAGGGAACAGGTGGATGCTTTGCAATAAGACATCTCCTCCAGAAAAGTGATCCACTCATCCAGGGCAGCGGTCGGCAATGCTATGTCAAGGCAGGTGGGAGTAACAGATGGCAAGAAGGTCAAGAGCGGAACTGCTCCGAGAACTATGCTTTGCGTGTTGTCGAGTATGATCCAGAAGCGCTCATGTGAACTTTGAGGTAAGTAGACCGTCAGAGCTGCTCTCATTCGTGATTTCATCATCCCAGCGACCATTGTCTGGCATTCACCAGAGACCGCACATAAAGAAGGCAAGGACGATACATGACATAGCGAAATGATATAAGAGAGGATTTCGGCAGGCAACTGGCGACGAAACCTTTTCCTGAGTCGTCGTGGCTGGTACATTTGACGTAAGACAGACGTTGGCTCAATGTCTCTTAGACCCATGATTACATAATCCATGATGAATACATGGGAGGATAATCATATCCCTGCAGTTTAGTTGCCGTCAATCTGAAAGTAAGCGTTGAGTTTGATGGTTCCGAATGCTCAGACAGTAATAGTACCCACGCAACAATCATGCGTTTTATGTCAGGTATGTCGTCAAAGGCGACGTCTACCACTTCCCCACTTTCCTTTTTGGCTTTGAGGACGAGCAAACTGCCACTCCATGGGCGTGCACGGTTGAAACTCATCGTTGCGACGTATTCGTTCGGCAGGAAGTATCGACCTTCTCCTTGGTTCTCGTAATACATGTAGTATTCGCAAGTAGTGTCCAGATCATCGTCGAGGGCTAATGTCTCGAATACTTCTCGATGGTCGTCCATGTCTAACCATGGACTGCGGTCGAAGTCGTGTTGTATCCAATGTCCAATCTCCATGTGCCCTACTCGCACCACGGCAGGTGGGCAAGGCCTTGTTGGAACGGAAACGATGTGTATACCACGGCAGCCTGGACCAACGAAAGCAGCTTTTCGCATGGAAATCACTTTGGCGTCCTGTTCATAATATGTGAGAGTCCATTTGATATAAACATAGATCTTACGGTATGAGCTTTTCCAATGGACAAGCATCGTGAACCGTGATCAACTTCAGCGTCTGGGTCCATGTCATGGAGGTGAAACAAGTGCACTGATATTACAAATTTTACTTCTAATAATCATATCCCGTCAACAGAGGTGCTGCCACTCCAGATGGGATCACCGGTTCTATAGTCAGCCCCAGTTCTTCGCAAATGTCCAAAATTGCTCGACGAAGTCTCTGCATCCCTGATCCACTGTCACCAATTATAAGGACACGAATCGGAGCTTCTTCTATTACAGGTGTCGCGTCTGTTGCCGGATTGAAACAAATCCACAGACTTGGCATCCCCAACCGTTGGATGAGGTTTCGTACTATACCATGGATAAGTACAGCGTTGGGACGACATCTTTTGACACACAGACCTTCTATAGCTAAACTTTCCTGCTCGGACATAACTTTCGAAAAAAGGTTGTTCTGGTGGCTGCTGATGGATATGTTAACGATGAGCGTCGTAGAAGTTAATTGGCTCACATATTTTGGAAGAGCGAAACGCTGCAGGAGAAAGAAACACCTTTTTTTTTACTTTTATGTTCATTTATCGATTATGTAATCTGGAAGCCGGATGACCGTTGTCAATCTTCGACAGGTAGATATGATACACTGAATGACGGTCAACTGCATATAAAGTGTGTCTTGTGAAAAAAAATCACCAGGGTCGCACTGGATTGGGCAGCGGACACATAGTTGGAGACGCGCCATGTCCGTCCGCGCTTATATGGTAGTGTTGAGCCTACAAAATAGAGCTTAAAAGTGCCTTCAAACAAAAAGAAGTTACTGAACCTACCTCCGTGTCTCATAGACCCCCAAATGTCTGGTCCACACCCTCTTTAAATTAGCTTCACGAACTTTCCGGTCTTGTATGCGACGAATATAGCGCATCGTTTGATATGGCAGCTTTACAGGGAACCCTGGGTTTGTCTTGGCGATGCGATGCATCCAGGTTTGCCATATCCGTTCAGACCAATACACGTCAACCGGCAAATCCTCAAAGTTACAGGAGGACGATACGGTGTTGTAAGATTGAGAACAGGGTGCGTCATGAGGCTCACGCCGTAGTGTATCCCTAATCTTCTGTGGATGCGAAGGCCCTATTTGTCGGATGCAATCTACGTGGCCGAGGAGGCGCTAGCCAGCCGCGATACTAGCTAGATTGTTGATGGGTCGATAAGATAGTTCGCAAGAGAGGCAAGAGACTCACAGTTCCCACGTGTAGTTCGACATTCTCGACGCTCAACGACGTATTCTAGATACCGTCGCTAGTCGGCAGAAGGCCGATGAAGATGTAGCTCGGCTTTCGAAGGTTTCGGCGAACTTGGTTTGTCCCATCGGTTGGTTTGTGGGCATCTTGAACAATATTACGCGATGGTTGGTTACCTATGAACATGAGACATTGAACGGATTCAAACATTTGAGTCCGTACACATGAACGAGCTTTCGATCGTGTACTTTACTTCCGGCAAATACGTCCGCGCTGTCTATTACGATCACTACCTCTACAAGAATAAAGGGACCCGTGTTGAAGGGAAAAAAGAAAAAATACACAATCTGTTGATAGACGTTATATACCCCGTCATGTTTAGGGCCCGTCAGATAAGTTCTAACTGACGGGCCCTAAAGACTTCAGGGTATATATGTTGATTCTTCAAACCGTTGAATCTTATTTTTCCCTTTTTTACAGACATCATTAGATACTGTCCCAAGATAGCGTTACTTCGTCGATTGTTTGCAGCGTAGTGTAAAGTCGTCGTATACACAATAGATACCATTGGAGACATCTTGAAAATAAGCAGGTATGAAGACCAAACATCTCAACGAGACAGGTAGCCGGCATCACGCTTAGTCGTAAGTTAGCTGATGCTGCGTGATAGGTTTCTCTACCCCAAATGACGGATGTGGTCCAAACCCCCAAAAAGAGGAGGGTCGCAGTAAGTCGAGTTCGTCTTACCTTTGTTAATTACACGTCTAACACCTGTCCATAGAATGCCTCCCTATTCGTTGACATTGAGGCCGCGGTGGAGAATGAAGACGCAGTGGAATCCGATGTCGAAGACCTGGGTTAGTAAAATTTCACTCGTTAGAAAGCTCATTGAATATATTATATACAGAGGATTTGATTGACGACACTGATTCTCTCGAGGATGGTGAAGCACCAGACTCCAGTTTCGTTCGCGAATTCACTGGCCAAGATGACGATGTGGAAGGGAATTGGCGGGACTTCATCCATAGGGCTCAAATCCGAGGAACGAGCGTTCATGATGCTTCGGATTACGATGGCCCAAGGACAGAGGATTACGGTCTCTATGAGGTTGGATGCCAGGTGCGAACGTCACGTTACGAGCCGTGTATATCTCGGCTGACATGCAAAACCAGCCAGGGATGGAGGAGACAACGGTGCTGCAAATACTCAAAAAATTTGTGTGTTGGGATAATGTCTGTCCTTTGGTTCGAGCAGCACTGGCACTTAGGTCGCATCCAGGCCGGGTGTTCATTGAAGCCGCATCTTACGAGGTTGTGAACGAGACCGTACGCAAATTCAACAACCTCAACACAGGTTTTGTCAGGGTTTTACAGGCGGATGAAGCACAGGCGTGTCTTGTTGGCGGAACAATTTATACGCCCTCGGTTGGTACTTGGATCAGAGTGAGGAAAGGAATTTATCGAGGAGACGTCGCATACGTTCGCCACGTCGATCCCAGATCACTGCACGCGGATATCGTCGTTGTTCCTCGAATCTACATGGATACCGATAGGAAACGGAAGCGCAGTGGGCGACCGCCCCGTCGACTTTTTGATCCGTCAGCCGTCAGGAAGAGATGGGGAGCCAAAAGCGTAGAACAACGAAACGGTAACTGGCTTTTCCGCAACAACACCTACACTTCCGATGGTTATTATCTTTATAATGACGTCGACTCCGAAATCATCATCCATACAACTTGTGATCCATCCAGACATGAACTGGAAGACTTCGAAGGATGTACCGAAATTCCGATCGCGATCTATAATACCACACGTCACCACTTTGCAGCAAAGACAATCCGATTGGGTGACCGCATTTTGGTCGTGGATGGCGAGTGCAAAGGATTGGAGGGGAATGTCTGCTCGATTCAAGACGGAGAGGCAGAAGTTTACATATCTTCCCAAGATTTCATTCACGTTCTGCGCTTAACAGAGCTTCGTCGAGAATTCAAAGTCGGTGACAATGCAAGGGTTACGTTTGGGCCTCATGCTGGAATGGTGGCATTCGTACTCAATTCACTGAACGACGTGTTGACTCTCCACATCCAAGATACGTCAACGGAGGTAAGAGAATGCATTATTCTACAAACAAAAACAAAAAGTCAGTTGGGATTATAGATATCAGTTCCCGTATCCGATGCTGAGTTTTACCATGCACCGATGACCTGCGTGGTACCGTCACCGATCCCCCCTGTGCCCAAAATAGTGTGGAAAGAGGTCGACGTGGTAGAAAGTGGCGTGCGTAAAAGAGTAAGGGAGCTCGTGAGTCTGAAGGACAACCCGAATTGGCGTTACGAAGGAAAGCGAGTCATTGTACTGAAGAACAATTTCAAGGGTTACGTTGGCCGGATCGTGTCTACAAACATAGATGAGACTGCGGTGGTGGAACTCGATGCCACTTTGTGAAAGGAGCGGTTCAAACTGACAGAACTGTCAATTTTGTAAGTGCTTTGTCCAGCGCATGGTATCTATTGAATCAAAACACGTAGTGAGCAGGAGACATCTATGAAGGCTATTCAACACGAAGAAAGAAGAATAGTGGCACAGGTCCTCCCATGGAACGCGCCCCCAGAAAAATCCACGCCAGGGACACCTATGCCGTCAATTCAAGAAATACCCCCAAGCCCAGCATGGGATCCTGCATCGGAAGTTACAGATCATGACAAAGGTACGCGTACTTTTTGAAAGATGCTTCCATAAAAAGGTAATCACAGAATTTAGGATCAGAGTGTTATTGGCTAGCGGACGAGCGATTGGCGTCAAGGAGAATTTGTCTCAAAGTCAGGGAATCTGTGCCACCCAAGTACATGGCATATCGAGACAGGACTCTTGAATTTTTGAGGCACGAAGGCAACACCGCAGTGGTCAGGTTCCTTCGTGACAGCAAGAACATCCCAATGCAGTACTTGAAACCCGTGCACCCTGATATGGAACGGCTGTTGGTAACACCAATGAGAGGAGATTTAAAGGGTAAAGTCTACAGAGTCATATCATACGGACCAACGCATTGCAAGATCAGAGACATTACCATAAAACCTGTACGAAAGAAGGACGATTTCATCATGCCTACAGACGAACTCGTGCATGTATACAGTTAAAGTATGACGAGGTATCATCAACTGATTGGAGCTAAACCCTGCGTTGAGATGGACAGAAAATGTTCGGACAGTCATCGCCCGCTCTCCATGTGCGGATTCGAAGGGGTCGGTTATGAGGGTGTGCTTACCATCCAGGCCACCCCAACTATATACTCCAACACCTTCCACGCAGGGGTGCAGACGACACATATATTAAGGAACAAATCAAACTGTACGTGTTACTTTCACGAAATTAAAAGTTGCTTGATTAAACGTAGGTTAATCAACGAAGGCAGCCTAAATCAGTTAAAGTAGCAAGGAGGACCGATGACACGCGCTACATTAGAATTATAGAGCACTTGCTGTCTTAGTCGTTGAACAATACATGGAGACAGCCGCAGCGGGTTGCTCAATTTGTTCGGGCGACCGATCCCGGACTGCGTCATGAATTAAAAACGAACTGAATTTAAAATTAAAATAAAATAAAAAATAAAATAAAAATTTTGACCGAAGAAGAGGGGAAAAGAACAAGCGGAAGACGCTGAACAGCATACAAAAAAATGTAGCAATTTGAGCTACCTCAAGCACAATGTCGGCCTCCTCCTCCACAGACACGGTAAGAGCTATCACAAGTCCGATGCAAGAATTGACAATGTATACCAGGACTCAAGTCTATCCGAATCCGAAAGGAGTACCGAGAGCTCTTGTACAAGTTATTCAAGTTATTCGGACGATAGCATGCCAGAGTTACAATCTGTGGCCGGGTCGAGCGACTGGAGTGACAGTGACAGTGAGGGCTCCAGTTCAGATGTTGTTGACCAACGAAGACTCCACGACGAAAACTTGGCAGTTGAAGAATCAAACGAAATGCGACAAGTGAGTTTGCAACTAGTCAATTGTCCAATCAAAAAATCAATCGTGAACAGATACGAATGCAAAGAGTCATCTATTTGCGGACCATCGCCTGGAATTACGCACAGTATCTTATTATGGACGAGGCGCCAGTGATGACGGAGACTCAGTTGCGAGGTGTGATGCACAGTCATCCGCCGAATTTGATCACACAATTACCACAACATGACGGTGAGGATATGGCATAATGTAGATGGAAGCCGGGGAGTCAGCAAGTGAGAGACCCGCCATTCGAACACTACCTATTGTGATCTAAAATGTGAGGCTAGACGTCGGCTACCATAGTATGTTAAATGTATGTGTTTGGTATGTCTTCACTGGCTCTCGTACGCAATGATAGATAGAAAGTCCACTTGTACACTCACGATCGCCTGCGCAAACGGACATCGCCGGTATTGCTTGCTAAAGTATGTACATGCTTGCCCGCTCGCGTGCGCTATGCAAGAAAAGACCTTGGCTCTGGTTATTTTGTTTTTACCTGTTTGGTATTTATGACCTTAGGAGATACCCGTGCATCTTTAGGGCCCGTCAGAGGTCTTATCGACGGGCCCTAAACATGAAAGGGGTATAATACGTCCCCAAACTGACTGTCATTTTCTTTTCTCTCCTTCAATCCATGTATCCAATAAGACCCGTAATGTACAGTAATGTACAGTGCAACAGTTGACCATGCGGAGCTATCTAAAGGAAGCGTAGAAGCGTAGTTTACGATCGAAACGAGTGAATACAAATGTGCGGAATCAAAACGTTGGACTGTGATTAACGGCTCATAGAATCAGCAGAACCGCATCGTCCTGGATGAACAGCCAGTGGGACTAAGAATTTTGTTTTGATCTGGCGGGAATGTCTTCGAAACGGTAGTGAGCGCAGGTATGAATCCCTGTCTGTCTTTAAGTGAAGGTGTACATTGATGTCCTCTAATCAAAGATATTCATGAACCATGGACACGTATTGGCGGGACAGGCGTAATTGCAGCATGAGCTCCCAAGTCTCCAGATATAATGGGTGCGGTACAAGTCATCCCTCTGTTGCTCCTTCCTATATTCTCTGATACCCGCGTACCAAGTGAACAACCCGAAGCCAAGCAGTGCGAAAGAACGCCTCCATACAGAAGGGCATTCGGAGCCGCAAGCTTCTCCCTTCGTAGACCCATTCGAAAAACGATGCCCTTGAAGGCCTAACTCCATTGTACGTTCCATGGTACTTTCGCTTGCTCCCCAATATCCCCCGACTGAGACCCCCGCGCAGGTGATGTCAGGGTAAGCGCAGTAAACTCCGCAATGAGAGAACGCTACCATCTTGTGGGTGGCATCAGACGTTAAAAGGGGAGGAATCGGAGACTTGTCACGACTCTCGCATAAGATGATCTTGGCACCCTTGACAGACAGGATCGTCAGTGGACGTACACAAAGGTGATGCATACATACGTTCTCATTCCCAAGTTCCGTCACTGAAAGTATTCCATCTTGTTGCAAAATATCCACGTCCAACTTGTTTACACGATCATAGCCTAAGCAAGCCAAATGAGCGTGCCAGATCTCGGTGGTTCCACACGGCGTGGTGATGTTGAGATTTCGAGGACGTATGTCAATCAGCGTATATCGTCCGTTGTCCTCGCGAACAGGTCGAAGGACCTTCAGTGCTACAGAGGCGAATACAAGGGAACCTGTATTGCGAAGGTCACTCATGAAGCGAGGCATCATGGCACGATTCATAAAAGGATCAAGTGCTTCAACAATGCGGCTCGCCACCTGTGCTCTTGCGCGGATCCGGCTGATGCGGTCGGTATGGCTGATGGCAACGAGGGTGGGGAAGGAAACATTTTCCAAAATAGAACGGAGAGCATTGGGTTGGTTGTATACAGCTGAAGCGAGCAGCTGCTGATCTGGACATGTCTGTATCATGGTCATGTCAAGATGCGTTTTCGTCGCTTTGAACCACTTCATTTTAATACGGCAGAAAGTAGTAGAAATAACAAAAAAAAAAAAAAAAAGGCTACTTTTCGACTCACGATCGAATGAGGTCATCGGTGGTTAACAGAGGTCAATGACGCAAACCACCTTCACGTTGGACGCCCAGTTACAAGATGGACGAAAATGATATGGAAAACGTTACGCAACCGAAAGATATTATTGCCATACATGCCATGCAAGAGCGCCACATTCCAGTAAGAACAGTCAAGATCATGCTCGCACCAATTCATACTAAAACATATAACAGACATTCGAAAAGTATTATCAAGCTATCATCTTTGCGACACATTGTCCGAAACCACAGATAGTGTTTGTCCCTGTAGGACGAGGATTGGATCCTGATGTCTTAGAAACCGACGCTCTGATGACGCATTACTGGCTCGCTCGAAACAAACACGAAAGGTTTATCGATTTAACGCATCATCGCATCATTGTAACACATTTCCCGCTCGACGCGCAAACAGCATTGGAAAACAAGTATACGGTCATCTTTCGGACTCAACCAAAGGTGCAGATCACATTTATGTTTTACCATCACCCGCTCCACGTGTACCTTTTCCACACTCTTTTTTTCTCTTCTCGGTCAGGAAGTTCATGCTACTAATTAGACCATGCTATTCAGATGTCGTCTCAAGTCCACAACGAGATGCACGTGAACGCATCAATAGGCGAACTGAACTGCAAGCAGCGTAAATGGTTTGGTAATGTGTTAGTGGTCAAACACAGACGAGAGTCTGGGTTGGTCGATGCGTCAGGAGAGGATATTAACCTAGCAACGGAAGTATTACTGAGGTAAGTTTGTAATATTCCTATGCAAGTTTATTACGGCCATATTCATCAGATACCGTCTCAAGCTTGATTCAAGACGGCAGAATGTGTTGAATTAGTGTTGACGATGGGGTACAGTGGGCACATATGTCGACCAGGATAGTCGCGACATATAGTCTTTGAAATCATGCATTGTCTATTCGTCGAATAAACGAACTAACAAAGTATGTATGAACGGTATCGTTACCACGTGATTAATTGAGCAATAGAACGAAATTTTCAAAGACGACACATCATGGAACGACCTTTGTTTCATGATGGGACAGATATAGTGTCCACACTCGAGCATCTCACACGTCAACAACTTCTAGAGGCGTGTGTTCAAGTGCCATTGCGTTACAGCCAAAAACGTTCATGGGAAACAATCATCGTCGCGATTGGCGAAGCTAGCGCGACACACCAAGACGTGATACGAAGGGCGGCTTCAGCCATCCAAGGCACTCGTAAAAGGCCTGCGGGGGCGGATTGGGAGGGTGTTCGACCATTAAAACGACAAAAAAGGGATAGAGGAGATAATTCCTTGGTTGAAATCAGCGGCGCATCTCCATCGGTGGGACCCCTAAACCAAGCGAGCAGTTCTGGAATCAATAGAGGAGATATTATCTTGCTCGAAACCAACAGCGCCTCTCCATCCGTGAGGCCTCTAAACCAGGTGAACGGATCTGGATTCGATACGAACACCGACACCCTTGTGGGAGACACGTTCAATGCAACAACAACAGTATGTATTGTCCATCATTTTGAATCTTTCTTACTTGACGAATTTGTATTGTACCACTTCTCAAGGGTGAAGAGCAGTCACAGTCAGACACAATGCAGAATTTTTTACAGCTACCGCACTTCAGTCACCCACCTTGAACAAGCTATTAGCCTTGTAAAATGTAAGAATGTATCCAGGCTAATAGGTTGTGCGGCCATTTATTTTTTTGCCTTTGGGAGAAAATATAATATTGGATTAGGTAGAAAATGTTTGACCTGTAATATTGTGACCAGAAATGTTTGGGTAGATAAATTGTGTTCAAAAATATCCTAGTCAAGTGAAAGTGGTCAGAAATATTTGAAGGGTTTCAGACTGGTAAGAAATGTTTGAAGTGTGTCAGACTGGTAAGAAATGTTTGAGCCAAGTCAAACTGGCCAGAAATGTTTGAGGTTTGCCAGAGTGGCTAGAAATGTTTCAGTGGTGTGACATCACTTGGATATATTCTAAGCATGTCACACTGCTGAAAAATCTTTTAGCCTTGTCACATGGCTCAAACATATCCGACCAGTGTCATGGGGTATCTGGGGTCCCAGTTTCAAGAAAAAAACTTGGTTTTTCTGGTGCAGTTTTCTCATCATTTTGTACATTGCTTTTTTTTCCCCCTCGAAACTCATCTAAGTTTGTTCTCACCATTACCCTGCTTCTATCTGCCATGTTCACCACTCTAAGGTTGTCTTCACCAACACCCCGCTTCTCTCTGTCATGTTCACCACTCTAAGTCTGTTTTCACTGACACCCTGCTTCTATCTGCCATGTTCACCACTCAAAACTCATCTAAGTTTCTCCTCCAAACCCCTGTTCACTCACTCTCTCACCATCTTTCTCTCTTGTCCCAATCTCTGCTCAATATCTCAATGCACACAATTACCTACTTCCTTGCCCATTGGGTCTTGTCATATGATTCCACTTTTTGACCACCCTCTCCTCCACCTCTGCCTCTACTTCAGCTCCCAGATCTCCAAGTGCATCTTACCATCCCCCCCAGTCAAACCCCCCACATGTCTTAACTTGTAGACCAAATCCGAAAGATATTATGAAGATTTCTTAGCCAGGCAAACAACAACAACAACAACCGGCCTGTGGTAGGGGTTCAATGTTGCAGTTCTGGCAGAGACTCCAAGCTCAGGCACTCATCTCTTGTTGATAGTCAATTGCTCAGTACCACCCTGAATCTAGGGTGAAGTTTTGGCACTCAAACACAACTTTTTTACCCATCTCCACCACACCTTTCTTGGCCCATGACCGCATCTCCTCTCACCTCCAATCTTCCTCCCTTTCAACCTTGTGCTCCCCTTTGCATCTCTAGTAATCATGCCCCGAACCGACTTCTCTTCATTTTCTCTTACTGCCGCCGTCTTCCCCCACCCACCTCCAGCGCAGCTTGTGCTTGCTTTCGCCTCAGCCGCAAAAAGTCTTCCCAGATTCACCTCCCAGACTCAGTTGGAGAATGAAATTGTGTTCATTGCACACACACTTGCACCCAACAAACTCTTCACCCAAATCCATTCAACATCACGTTGTCATCCAACTTACTCAACTCGCATCCATCTGTATCCAACCCTGTACCCTCCCTCAAACTCACACACTCCACTTCCACCTCCCTTACAATGGCCTGGTCAACCCAGGGATCTTACTGATGCTGTCACCTTGTTCTTGACAGTCAAAATGTTTGAACACCAGAATACGGAGACTTTACATAATTTTTCTTAGCACCACCACTCTACCTTTCGTCACACCAACCCAGTCTGCTGTAGGCCATCCTCCCTTAGCTATGCATTTGCTACCTTCATTCACTGATCTGTCAAGGTATCCTTTTTAGTTTACCTTAGTCTCTTAGTAGATGTAGGCAGGTGTCTTATTGTAACATGTGGAGTGAGTGAGAGATATCTCACAAATATTTCTTTGCAACTCAAACATTTCTTAACTTGTTAAAAATATCCCAAAGATAGCATAAAGATTTCCTAGCCTGGCAAACATATCTGCACTTGATGAGAGATATCTGACAAATATTTCTTTAGAACTCAAACATGTAGAAAATATCTGAAAGATATCATAAAGATTTTCTTAGCCAGGCAAACATATTTGACAAATATTTCTTTGGAACTCAAACATTTCTTAGCCAGGCAAACATATTTGAACTTGATGAGAGATATCTCACAGATATTTCTTTGGAACTGAAACATCTCTTAACTTGGAGAAAATATCCTGAACCAGATAAACATCTTTATGAAACTTTCTTTAGCCAGCCAAACCTTTCTGACTTGATCAGAAATGTTTCCCAAGATATCTTGGGTAGCCCAACATTCCTCAACTTGGTAAAGAAATATCTCACAAACATTTCTTGGTAGC